AGTAGAGGTATTTAAACGTAGTAGAGGATATGTACCGGTATATAAAACCCGTGCGCTATAGTCTGGTGCGCCTTAAATACAGTAATGGCACACATAACTGAGACTGCGCCTTTTAATACGCTGCGCCTTATTGTGCTGAAAATACGGTACTCAGTTTTACTGTTGCAGAGGCTGGACTTGTAGCATACATGTAAGTGGAGTCAGGATTTTTTTTTACAAAAAGGCAAAATAATTGTGAGATGGCTGCGAAAGAAGAACAAATGTGAAACCATCCGACTTGTCTCTTGGTTTTTATTGACAGGAATTTAAAACAACATTAGGAAAAGTGGAGTTTTCATTGACCTAAAAGGAAAAAAAAAGGCGAGGCACTATGTGGAGCGTGAACATGGCTGATGAGCACAATTGGAGATCAATAAACGGATCGGCACAGTGAGTTAAACACAAGTTAAACAGCAAACACAGCGGCAGATTCACCATGGCTCTGTAGAGGTTAGTTTACATTTTTCTTTCCATTTCAAATGCAGGAACTACTTCCTACAAATACATATATTCTCTTTTTATTAAATTTCTATATATACACACGCAATAAATAAAAAACATTGGAAATAAATGCACTCTGGAAGTGCCATAATGTGTCCTGTATGTTATCTGTTAACAGAACCTTCTATGTGAAAGGAAACCCTCTTCTGCATATTGATCAAGCAATGTTTCACTAGCAGGATTAACATTTTTTAACATTTTTGTGATGCCCCTTTCAACTTGTGTTTACAACAACATTAACAGAAAAAAAAATGTCTGCTGCCATCTGCTGGTCAGCAGAGGAGTGAAAGCCTCCCGATCCAAAACAGTACAGATGTATCTCCTGCATAAATAAATTTATATCTACAAGGAAATTATTCTGAATAAAAAAACAAACCGATTGGATCATCCATCTAAGATTGGCCTGAAATGATTTGAATTGTGATGAATCAGGGTTGGATGTGCTTAGAACCCCACAGCCCAATTAGCCATAAACCCGAATATTTAAAAAAAACCTGTTTGATCCAGTTTTTCTGGAACAAAATAAGAAATATTTCAGATAAAACATTTTTTTAAACCAAAATGAATCATAATTGCATAAAGCACATAAATGCTGCTTTTAACCGCATTAAGTAAAAAGGCTTTAATGTGATTAGCTTAGCTTTAGCACCCACTAATATATCTCTGAATGCTCGTTATTGTCTGGTAAGTAAATCAATGCAGAAGAAGAAACATTGCTCAGTCCTATGCAGCTGTTAAAACATCTCATAAGTTCCGGTACTCAGTAGCATTCGCACAGATCAGAATCTTAAAACACATTAACCTTTTTTTAAGTGGTATTCATCCACTGGTATGCCTCAGCAGAAATATGAATTGGGGAAAAATTCACTTCACGGTAGAGGGATGGTCACAGCACTTCAGGGCGAACATGAGAGGCGTTCAGGTGCGTCGTCACAAACTTATGTTTTTAACATTTAAAAACTCACCCACACTCTTAAAAACATGTATCCACCTGATGCTTAGTGTCCTGGCACTGCGTCCGTTTCACGGTCTTTGACCTCATCGGCTCCCTTTTCTTCATCCTTTAAAACCCGGCCGGGTTTTGGTTGGTTTTTTTTCCCTCCCCCATCAGCTGCTCTTCAGGACTTGAGGCCCATTCGAGCCATGAGCTGTTCGTACACGGTCCAAGCCATGGCAGCCATCAGAGTGCGGCGGAGAGACCTCGGCACTGCCCCGCGGAAAAATCCGGAAATGCCCTTATCCTGAGGAAAGAGAGAAGAAGTGAAAATTTGAAAAGATCGGTTAAAGTGAACCGAGAAACATTCGTTTTAAAAACAAATGTTGGGATGAGAGAATAAAGCTTAACGGGTCTTAGTCTTCCACCGTCTCTTTCAACCCCATTTCCTGTCAGCCCACTTTCACATAAAGACCACTAGTTCCCCCAAAACAAATATTAAAAAGCCAGTATCACATTCAAGACTCAAACCTATAAATACTGGAAAGTAAAAACTTTAATAGATAAATTGCAAAAAAGTTTTTTTTTTAAAAACAAT